AACTAATGGAAAATCATATAAGTTTGAACTATGAAAAAATTCAGTAAAATTTACCTGTTTTCATGATGAATATTGCTCACTAAAAGATATATCTTATAAGATAATCATGTATATTTTATTGGAGTTGCTTTTATCGATTTTTGACGTTTATTGATATGTCGTGTGTAAACAGACATGTAGAAACTATTGGACTGTCATTTAACTTTACAGTATAGGAAAACATGTATATCTCATTGGAATAGTTTCCTTTGATTTTTGAAGTTTAAAGATTGTAAACAGATCTATCCCAATCATTATATAGCCATATAGATTTGCCTTTTAAGAAATCCAACAGCAAACATTTGTTTTGGCATGGTTTTCCGGGATGAATATGGCTCCCAATAAAAAACATCTTACATGATTGTTCTTTATAAATTATTGAAACAATTTTCAACGATGTTATCGTACACTCATTAAAACGATTAGTCGTACTAAATATTGCTAACAACAATGATACTGTATTGAATAATCTTTGTTTGTTATTGTTCCATAAGATAAGGGGTTCCGGAAAAGAATGTATTGAGGTTGAAAAAAAAATGATTCTACTGTAATATTTACTTTGCTAAGATTCTAATTGTAAGCCTTCTACACGGCTAATTCGGATTCCAGCACTAGTACTCGAACTTCATGAACCAGTTCCATGAACTCATATAATGTAGTCGTTGTTTTATTGCACACAGGAGCATTGAGAAAGATTTGAATACACGACATCACCCAAACGGAACATAAATTTGTCAGTGTTATTTTTCTTCACTCTAGCAAAACGAGCATAACGTTGCACTACATTCCATGTCGGGAGAGCTGTTCTTACTTCATGCTAATTGAACGAACTCAATATTGAAGTCAGCATTGGCACAGTGGAATCGAGCGCAGACATCGAAAGCATCCACACCTCAACAGTTCTGGATCGAATCCCAAATCAACTACAATAAAAAAAGACACAACTGTGAAAGCTCTCTGGCTGATGTTTATTTTTCGATTTATTTTTAGAAATCGATTAAATATATGTGTCAAAAGAAGAAGTAAATTTCATGTGATTTTCACATAAACTTTACTTCGATTGATTTATAGCAAATATATTATATTGTGGTGAAAAGTAAAGCTTATGCTTATGGGTTTCAAATCCATTTCAGTTATTTATTATAATTTGACCGATTTTCATTTATCATATGAAGAACATATAAAAGTTACCAAATTATCAGCATCGTAAATGTATCAGATATTCATATAGAATTTACCTGACACATTTTCAATCATATCATTTTCAATGGATTATCTTATAGCGCAAATTTGTTAGACTTCCACATAACAGGAATATGTCATATTGGTTCAGTGTATCCATCGATGAGAGGCGTTTGGATTTTTGAAGTGAGAACCTAAGGCATCCGAAGAGTGTTCCGAATCATCACTGTAACCACTCAACCGATTTTGATAAAACTCTGCCAATGTAAACAACTGTAAACTACTTGCAGCCAAAATTTCAGCCATTTTTACTCACATGCTAAAAAGTTAAAAATAATGGAGTGTGTCCAATTTTCATCGAATACAGTCTTTATAACGGGTAAAAGCCTATAACGGGGGTTTAGAGAAACCTTTAGATCCGTTTCCTAGCACTTATCGTTTTTTTTTTAATTCTTTATTTAAGAGATTTTTAGCCTTAGGCTAGTTCATCTCTAGTAGCACTTATCGCATTTGCATTCACATTTCACATCCAGGACTGGTGCGGGGGTAGGAAAAAGTTTTAGCGTTCAACGCTCACCTAAGGTGAAAGTCATTCCATTATTATATGAAACATTATATGCTGGGTACGGGAGAGATTGAAGCGAAATGGATGGGGAGAGTGGAAATGCCAACTCCCTGTATTTAACATTTCGTGAAAGAGGACAGGCTCTTCTTCCCACTCATTGGGTCATCCTCCTGTCGGATGGCCTGTTTTTGACCGGTTGTATGATCCTGTTGTTGGAAGGAGATTCTCATTTATCCCGTGGATGCACGTGGGCGATGTTGCTCACGGATTCACCCAAACCGTTTTTGGCCCTTGATGCAATGCACAGTTGGCAAAAATTGACAAAACCGCGGCTAAATTGAATATCTCGACTGCCAAATGGTTTCAGTCAACATGTTATACATATTTTCAAAGGAAAAACTCTGCCGATTGGTGGTGGTCTCATTGGCCGGAGACTTTTGCGTACCGAGATAGAGGGTCGGGATCAACACGAGTTCCCGGTAAAGCAGGAAATGCCACTATCTATCGACATAATTTTACACTTTACATATTACAACAAAAGTTAATGCAGCTGCCGGCACTCAAATGCTAAGCGCTTCTGGTGAACCGTCACTTACAGGATAGTGGCTCCCTTCCCTACTATCAGTCCCTTCTGAACCAAGCAATTCCTCCTCCCGCAGATCTTCCTTGCCTTAAACTATTAGCCCAACAAATTCCACTTCTCCCCCCCACTTATCTGAGAACACCCCTCCAGCGACCAAATTCATCGTGTTCTTCTGGAGTGGACAGATACACCACGGGTCGAGAGAAAATATCCTGGATCAAACTGGAGACGTATATGGACGAATATCGGGTCGAAACAACTGTCATCAAGCCATCGGAGCAGCTTGTATATGCTGCTCAACGAGAAGACGGTGCATAGAAGGCTGATGAAGATCATCCAACGGGCAGACGGCGAGTGCTGCTTGCACTGCAACGCTACGGTTGAAACATTGCAGCCCAAGTTCAGTGCCTGCCCCCGCGTGGCGCATGCATGGGCTTCCATACAGCAGAGCACTACGACGATACTCGGCGGCTGGCAAAGGCTGTCCATCGAGGATCTGCTTCGACCAGAACTTCTGAACATAGGGCTAAGAAAACGAAACGAAATTTTGAAAATCTTTGTATTGTACATCGACTATGTTAATTCTGTTAACGATAGAATAGATGTTAGTGCCCTAAACTTTTACATCGATTGTGAACAATAATACGTGTAAATTAATGTTTTAACACAGTAATAAACAATACCTTTACAAAAAAAAAAATGGGGCAATTTTCAGTGCTGTACAAAAAAAAATCCACGGATTCTATCAAAAACGACCAGCTAAGGCAAATTTGACCGAATTCGTGTTACGCTGCGTTTTGACCATGGATTCTGAAGCACAAGACAACGCTGTTTACACTGATCTGAAGGCTGCATGTGAGTGAACCCCTGCAAACTCGGAGATTCTGGATCCTTGATTTGGTGATTTAAAAATCTTACCTTACGGACCGCTTACTTTGCGTTAAGATTGGAGCATGCGTTCTGAAGTATTGACGAACATTTTCGGCGTTCCCCAAGGGAGTAATCTAGGATCTCTTGTTTTCGCGGTGCTTCCCCACTGGATGTCGGCAATTCTACGCTGACGACGTCAAAATGTACATGGTCAACAATTGCATCGCTGATTGCGAGGAGCTGTAGCTCAGCGCTCAGAATTAACAAGTGCATTCATTAAATTGCGATTAAATTTGATGTCCCCATGGGCCGAAGAAGAATGGCGACTGCTCTCCATCTCGTCTGCATGATCCGATAAGTGACACTCTGCCCTCTTGTATGCTCTACTCCGTGGTACAATACTGTGCTGGTGTAGAATTCTTACCACCCGAGTGGACCCCTTCAGATTGTGGAACGCCGCTCGCTGATTAATTTTGATCCGGCTTCAAACTACCATCGGTCTCCAGGAGTTCGTTCATCAATTCGGTGTTCGTATCGGTAACTTAATTCGTCCTTGGTTTTAACCTAACCATCTATAAGACATTAAATGTTTTACTGCCATTACTTTTACTGGTTATTCTTTTATCGTATATCACTAGCAGGCCCATCTAGTGTGCCAATTTGATACTTTTTATTTATGATGTCCTGCTAGACTGCCCATAAAAGCTTGATTTCCTATTCTAATGGGACTGTTATGCGAGTATACTGCCGTTATACTCATAACTGTCCCATGTTCTATGCAATCCTTATGCACCGTGGGACTCTTATGCGTATAACGGCAGTATACTGCATCCTATTAAACCAGCGTAATCAGCCTGTTGATTTTTTTTCTTCTGCATTTTTGGAACTAAGTAGAGTATCAACTCCTGAGGTCTACTAGTGTTGACAAATATCTTTTTCTCTTGCTTACATCGTATGTAACGATCCTACTCTCGTTCACTTTATTGATAAACTGAATTAGATTAGTAATAGGAAAATGTGTTAATAATTGAAAGTTATTTTATTAATATAAATTTACCTGTGTCGTCATTTTTTAGCTAATAGGTAATCGATTGTCATCATAAATGGACGCGTCGGCATTGAAGCTTCGACATGCTTTAAAAATCTTTAGACCATCCAAAATTTCATTAAAATACCTAACCTTAACCTAAATGAGCAAACTGCTTCTGCAATATTCACTCATTTGTTTCTATGTAAATTTACATCAATAAAAAAATGCGGCGATTAAAATCGCTGCAAACAATAATTTTGATTGCACACTTTTATTCGCCTCCAACATAAAGCGCAATTAAAGCGATTCTACGAATAAATGCGCCACTAGGATGAAAGTACACCTTCGAAACATGTCCATTATCCGCTATTATTTCCAGAGCTATCATTCCGACCGGCAGAAACTCACATAGCCAGACCGATCCATACCCCCCGAAGGCGTTCAGCTCCCTGGCAAATCACCACTTTCGCCCGACGACGATCACGGAATACGCAAATCACCCACCACTCAAAGTCAAAAGTCACAAGACAACCCAAGCACACACCAGGCAAGCTCATCGGTACACACATACAAAATCATCAATATCCGTAAGTTAGCACTGCTAGCTTTGTCCTTTCAAAACACTCATGACCCTCAACAGTTCGTACAAAAAAAAAAGAGGAAAAAATGCACGAAAGCTGCTGCCTCTTCTCGGTAGCATAATCACCCAACAAATTCCACCCAAACCATACCTGCTGCGTTCCGCTCGGACCTGCCTCGTCGTCATCCAGTACAAACTTCTTGCCCTTCTTGCGAACGGATTGTTCGATTTCGCTGCCACTATCGCTGTTCCCGTTGGCTTCGCTCGACAGCTCGCTATCATCCCGCAGCCGTCTTCTACCGGCCGCTGCTGCCGTCCTTCTCGTCGCCGCCACACCTGATGTACCTGGACCCGTTCTGCGTCTCAGCCGGCGGTTGACTCGGGATCCTCCGGCCACGATCTCATCGTCGGAGTCGCTCATCGCGGATGCCGTTTTCTAATTTCTTGATACTTTCTTCCAGTTGTCGTCTCGCAAAATCCACACAGAAAACACACAGAAAAATTCCTCACAGTTCAGAGCTGGCTCCCCGCTTAGCCGCTGCTGCCATCAGCCACCATTGCGCTTAATAAACACAGGATTTTTTCTTCTTCGTCACCCACTCTCGGCGCACGGGAAAACGGGGGATGAAAAATTGCCAACTTTTCCAACGCACAAAACACCTTACATCTGCTCGTAATCCACGCTCTGGTACTTTCAAACTGTGCTTCCCGGGCCAGACTCCACTTTGGTACACTTTTAGTCCAGCAATTATCACTTTTTCAACAGGAATTTACACTTGAAAAACTCGGACCAACTCCAGAAAGAAAGGCTTGACGTACAAACCGGAGAGGTATCACAAAAATGGCGACTGAGAGAGAATCATTCGAGAATCAATCCGAGAGCACTAAACGGGAGCCGATCGTGAAGCCGCATGTATTTGTTTCTCACTCGCACTACTGGAAGACCCGCGCAGGGCATCTCTTTCCGTCGCTGTATACCAGTCTGGCGGTGGGGCACGTTCACCGACCGATGTGCTGACGTTTTTGACGTTTGAGTTTGATCCCACAGATGTTGAGATATTACGTAACGAACAAGATATGGAATATCTCGCGTAGTAATGCATTAGGTCCTAAGTAACATTGATCGATTATTTTCGTCGACTTTCTATCTCATTAATAACAGCACTGTTTCTTCTCGTGTTTGTTGTATTAGAAGCTGGATAATACGACAGTGAGCATGCATAAGGGCGTAAACGCGATGATTGATTCTCTTCGTCGATTTTCTCTTTAGTTAACAACTCGCTAGAATTAACGATTCTCGATGCGTTTTCTGCGAGGGGCAAGACATTGTAATATTTATATCTAATAGTTTAGCTAATATATTCTAATGCTTTCTAAATATCTTTGATTCGCGTCTAATATTTTCAAACCGACCTAATATTGCTCATCCACTTTGTAATATCCTTTTTTCAGTGTGCTATCTCTGCACACTATTTTTTTTTTTGCTGGAAACCAGCAACATTTTGCTGGATTTTGCCGAACTGTAAAACCAGCAATCCGTCCAGCAAAATAAATGTTGCTGTTTTTCCAGCAAAACTAAATTTCATGAAACTGACAGCACTTAACTTTTGGTCGAGATTTTGGTTGACGGCTGGATTTCGGGAGTACTCGTTGGGGGGTTGTTTCGATCTTGCGAGGGAGATTGTTCGTTGGGAGCGGTATAGGTGTAGTGCCAGAATTAAGCTTCTTCTTCTGCTGCTGATGGGTTGCAAACCGGGGAGTGGTAAGGGGATTTGCGAGGCGGTGTCGCTGATGTTTAGGTAGATTAAGTGCGATCGGAATCTATGGGTCAGAGAATGGGACGGCGGTCATGCACCAGTGACAGAGGGGATGAGTATTTAAGCCGGATTCCCTTTGGAGTGCAGATTGGCTAACTTGACCACAGGGGTGGATGTCAGTCCTGTCCTCGATGAGTTCGTTCAAACGTTGGAATTCAATTTAGAGAATTGAGAAGCGCATGTTTGGGGTCCAAGACTGCATCAACTAAACGGAACTGCTTTGCTGAACGAAAGATTTGCAGGTAAGGGTGGTTTTTGTTGTTACTCCGAGGAAGAGTATAATGAGTGGCCTAATAGAATTTGCTTTTTCGTGATTGACCGAATGCGAAAACCGCGCGATCATGAAAGTGACACACAGAAAAAAAAGTTGTTGAATATTACATCCAAACAGCTGCACAGAGGTCATTCCGTCGGTTGTGTAATATTACGTTGTACGATGTACATCGATTTTGCGAACAAAATTGCATCTATTGATGTAATATCATAGAGGTAACTCTAAGACCAGAAGGTCCCGAAGAAACGAGCTCTACTTTTTGGCTCAGCTCTGGTACTATCTTCGGTCCCAAGCTAATCGATTCACATCTCGAAACATAGGAAATCCACTAACCCCTCATTTTATCTGTCAAACTTTCATAGCGATTCAAAACAAACATAGTGTAGTATTGGAATTTCGACTAGAATGGGGTACGTTAGTCGATTTGCTTGGGACCGATAGGCTAGTCAAGTAGTGAGCCAATTTCCAATCGATAGTTTCGTATTGATTGTTGGTAATATTGTAACTGCTTTATGCTATTACATCATTATTTCATACATCAGCTTGAATTACGTTGATCGATATTACATTTTTTTTTTGCTGTGCAGTAAACATAAACACACTAAAACAAATTAGAGTAAACAAATAGATAATTCTAACTCATCCAAGATTATCGAAGAATAGTGGATGAAATTGGATGATATCGGCAGGCGCGTGTTATTATTCATTATGAATCAAGTTTATCCAAAAAATCTGAATTATTTAGCAAATTTTAGTTAATTTTGATTAATTGAAATGTAGAATGGATTACTTTCGTCCCCCTCGCTCAAAACGGTGAAGGACGACAACTGCTCTGGGAACGGAAGATTGGCTCCGGTTCAAGTTCCAGCAGTAGAATGTGGTGATGATTAAGAATAGGAAATTCTGTCTCAAGATTATCTAGGAGAAAACGAGTATTTTGTGAGTATTGGAGGGTTAGATCAGTTAAAATTTGAGATGGAAATTAAATGAGAATTAAATTTTTGTTTCAAGCAACACCAGCAAGCAAATTAGCCTCAGCACCACAATCTCCAAACTTTGCAATCACCGGGTTTCCTGGTCAATTAAGTAAGTGGTCTTTTGATTATCCGTTATGCTCGTTAAAATTCAATTAATCGTCATTTCCAGATGCTTCTGTAATTACGGCAACGACGTACTTGGATGACTAATAAAATCGATGGAACAATGATCGTAATTCCGTTAAAAAACCGACGGAACGTAAGAAGATGATCGCTATTGGGTGAGGAACTGTTGACAAGGTGAGCAACCAAGCGCAAACCAAGGCGCCAACCCTGATTTTTAAAATTCAAACATTCAGGTTCAGACCGGCTTCTCCATAAACGAATGATAACCCAAATTATTGAACTATTCTTCAAATGGTTTAGATGATACCCGGAACACGTCGTTAAGCAAAATAACCATATCAATTTAATTAGGGAAGGAAGCTTAACGAAAGTATTAGAAAGTACTCTATAGCTTATATAATAATATATTAAGTAATATCTATAGCTTATTTTACGATCAATAAAAAACATAACCAAAAGCAAATGAGTTATAATTAGTCAACAAAAATAATTCCCAAAAATCAAATAAAGAAAAATCCATCCATCTCCACTATTTTCCACGTAAAATTCAACAGTACCCTTACTTTAATAAGTATTACCGTTTCTACCCGTAGGTAGTATATCTTGAAGGTAATAACAATGGTTGATTGAAAACCATCCTACCTTATAAGAACGTTAATGGAAATCGGTTTAGTAATTTTCCAAAAAATGGAATATATGCACTCGCTGTATGGAATGTATGTATGGAATTTTGCACTCGCTTTCTACCCAAAAGTAGGATTCCCACACATCCCTGGGTGGTTTTGCTCCTCCGTTTTTGACAACATTAGAAGAAGAAAAGTAGACAAACTACTCAAAAGCAAGGTTGCAAAGACTCATTTCAGCTAAAACAATGTTTTTCTAAATTATGAAATAATTAGATGCCATGATCAAATTTTGAATTGGTAGGATACAAGAAGAGATTGCAAAGAATGTGTTTGACATATTAAACCTGTTTATTTCACTTCATGAGAGTCACAATCAGCGATCAACTCACTCACTCTCTCACTCACTCAGCGATCAGCAAATCGCTGATTGTGACTCATAGAAAGCAAAATTTACAGGTTTTATGTTTCCAACGCATACTTTGTAACCTCTTCTTGTAAGTTACAAGTAAAACATGCCATCATACCATCATACCATCTTTTGGTTTTATTATTCCGAAAAACATTATTTTAGCTGAAATGAGTCTTTGCAACCTTGCTCAAAAGTAGGTAAAGGTGAACTTCCCTAATAAAAATTGTATGGTTAATTTGCTTAACGACGTGTTCTGGGTATCATCCAAACCATTTGTGGAATATTTCAATGATTTGGGTTATCGTTCGTTTATGGTTATTTTTTATTAGGGTGGCCGTTTGGAACTTTTTCTTACCGCAATGCAAAAGTGAACATCGATGAAGAAAATCGATCACGGTAGATAGGACCTGCTGAAAAGAGACGCGAGATTAGACGGACGTTTTCCGTGAACGCGTGCTCTTTAACACTGAACATTTTATACTACTTTTTATATCAGTTCATTTCAAAACACGCGAACCGCCCTTGACGTTTCTCGCGAAGTCGCGAGTGATTTTGTGGACCGCGAAACACGCTGTTTTTGGGAGGCTTTCGTATCGTATTTTACTACTAAATTAAAATTGTCCATAAAGTGGCCCAGAAGATTTTGTTTCATTAGCAGCATGTCCACCTCGTGTGCACGCGAATATTCCCGAGATGGGAAATATTTCGCATTCATCAACAGCCAGGGCAAGTTTGTGGTGTACGACGTCGAAACGAGCAACGTGAACCAAATCTACACTCCGAACCTGCACCTGAATGTTCCGTGTACGTGCTTCGCCTGGGTTGAGATCGGTGCCGGTGGTCAGAATAGTGCCAAGAAGAAAAAGAAACGTGCCAGTGGCGGAAGTGTACCGCCGCAAACGTTCGTGGCCTTCGGAACCAGCAAGGGAGGAGTCGCTCTGTATGGCTTGGCTTCGGCTAATATCGAGAAAGTGTTCAAAGGATCGGGCCACTCAGGACCGATTACGGCTATTTACGTTCAGGGAGATTGTTTACTCACTGCTGGAGCAGATGGAAAAGTTATCGAGTGGAGCCTGGGAGAATGTGTACAGCGAAAGGTCCACAATCTGGGCGTTGAAAAGCTTACTTGTTTGGTAGCGGTCGCGGAAGGATCAACGATTTTGTCCGGCGCCAAGCAGCTGAAATTGTGGGATGTTGAGAATGGGAAAGTGGTAAAAACGTTGGTCGGACATACGTCGAATACGGTACTAGTGAAGAAGATTGTCAGCCAGGACGGACTGGTTTTCATTCTAACAGGATCGGTTAACGATCGGAATGTTTCGATGTGGTCTGTGGAAGGGGATGATAAGTCTGCGGTTGGATTGTTTGCTATGGACGATGCTCCGGAGTACTTTTCAACCAGAATGGTGGGCGGAAAGTTGCACCTTGTTGCGGTATCCAAATCGGGAGTAGCACACTATTTCATCAAAAGTTTGGATAAGTAAGTTTCGGAGAATATGATGATTTTGATAAAAGGTATTAATACCATTGCTTGGAATTTTAGGATCAACATCAATAAACCGATCAAACCGAACTACACCTATGAAGTGGCTTTGGATGCAGCGGGTACTGGTTCAAAGGCCGTAGACCGGTTGCCAATTTTTACAGCCAGTGTGGAGTTTTCTTCAAACCAGGAACAGCTGCTGATTGCCTACGGGTCTGACCTCAGTCTCAAGTTTGAACAAATCACGATCGAAAAAGACCTCAAGCACAATGTCATCATTCGCGAGCAGATAAAAGGATTGCTGCCGAAGGATAAGAGCGAGAAAGATCTTAAAGCGAAAACACCTACAGTTGATAAGGCCGTCGCAGAATTCCTGAATCCGGTCAACGCCGGGAAGAAATCACTGAAAACTGTGGAAATTCCAATGGAAGCCCGCTTGGAGAATCTGGCCCTGTCGGCCGATGGCGATTTAAAGACCAATGCCAATCAGAAGAACATGGTGCACTTGCTGGTTCAAGGCCTCCACAGCAAGGATGCCGAAATTCTGCGCAGCGTTTTCAGCAAAAACGAGCCGGACCTTATACAACGGACGGCCGAGAGGATACCGGCGCAGTATGTAAGCATTCTGCTGAACGAACTTTCCAGTCTTATGCAGAAGAAGACAGTGCAGTAAGTATATTATACCTAGTTGTAGGATTGGCAAATTGGTAGAATGTATTTTTCAAATCGATTATTGCAGTGTCGCAACGGCCGTCTGTTGGTTAAAGGCTTTGATACACAGCCACGCCAGTCAGCTGATGGCGCTGGGATCGGAAAATCTGCTGTCGAATTTTGGAACCTGCTTGGGAATTATTGAATATCGAGTGGAACACGCCAACTCTCTCTCGAAGTAGGTTTTACGCTTCAAGCCATTGATGTTGGGGAATATCTGATGAAAGGGGTTTCTTCTTTCCTTTAGATTGAGTGGACGCCTGGAACTGTTGGTCAGCCAAATCGATCGAACCGAACGATTGGCCAAAAATCCCGACCAGATGGTCAACGCTCACGTGTTGATACATCAGGAGGAAGAAGATTCCGAAGTGGATTCGGTTATTGGTAAGGAGCATGGTTCCTCCGAGGACGAGTATGACGGAATGATGGATGAAGATGGTCCGGAGGAAGACGACGATGCAGAGGACGAGGAGGAAAATGCCTTGGCGGGAAGTTTTGTGCGATTGCGAAATGGGGCTGGCAAACAGGGTGGGCGAAATCTGCAAGTGGACGAAGAGTCTAGCGGCGACGACGAGGATGACGATGACGAAGAAATGGACGTTTCGGATTAGTGTAACGCCTTAGATTAATGTTTTGTTATGTAGAAAGATATCTATTGTATTTAGAAGTACAATTCACAACCGCATTGTCTTACGTACACTAAAGTTTATCATTGGCACCGAACATTCAATCACTCGATACTGGCTTTATAAATCTTCATTTGCATTTTAATTCGACAAAATTTATGTCCGTTCGTACGCTCTTCGATGAGTTTTGACCAGTTTCACAATGTTACTCGGTACGTGGTTACTTGGGTATGTCAGGGGCGTAGGGAAGGGATGGCAAAAGTGGCACCCACCAGGGCGTCCAAATCAACGATTGGCTATCAGAAATGAACATTGCTGTACTTGTACTGCTCATAGTTAGTCTAAACCTTATCAGTATTTTACCTACAATGATTATGTACTTTCTTTGGAACTGTACAAGAGAGGTTCAAATATTTCAATAGTTAAATTATGCGTTAGAGTATCCTTAACGAAGTAACGGGAGTAACGTTAAAATGACATTCCGATACATGATGGTCCTCGAAACGACAAGCAGTTTCAGCTCTAAGAAGATCGATTTTTTTCCTTTTTTTCGGTCTTACTCATTTAACAGATTTGACAAGATAGGTAACTACTACGGTGTAGGGGGCTCAAGTTTTATTGAAACAAATTGATTTTAATTTTCTTATGTCGTTTTCGTTTTTACTACACTACACAGGTGTAGTGTAAGCAGCAATCATTGACAGCTCGACTACCATGAGCGCTTACCAGACTGCTTTTCGATTTATGGAAGAGAATCCTCAATAATATTAACAAAGTAAACGAATCATTGCAATCAAGACCCATAACCATAGACGTGGCAATTATACTTATGAGAGGCTAGCAAACAATTTTGAGAAAATGGATAATCTATCCAGTACGCAAATGAAAAATTCATTGAGCGTCGACGTCGACAACAACTCAAAGACAGCGAAAATCGAAACAGACTGAAGACAGGGTTCAACAGGAAGTAAGCTCCGTATTTGACAAAATTTTATAACAGATGGAACAGCGTAAAGAAGCAAACGTATACCTACCGGGGATATAGCTTCGGATTTTTATTATTTTTTCTGACATCTATAACCATTAGACCACAGACAAACAGACATAACACTCGTAAGTTGTTCATTGAACAAGCATTTAACGGTTAATTTAAAAGTATCGTAGATGGTAGTACCGCCACCTGTGGCGCGCATAGTCATTTTCCTTGCGTTTGACGTTTACACACTACCGCCATCTGTTCAGCGTACTACCATAGAGGTAACTCTAAGACAAGTAGGTCCCGAAGAAACGTGCTCAACTTTTTGGCTCACCTCTGGTACTATCTTCGGTCCCAAGCTTGTCGAATCACCCCTCGAAACATAGGAAAAACCAATAACCCCTGATGTTATCTGTCAAACTTTCATAGCGAATCAAATCAAACATAGTGTAGTAATAGAATTTCAACTAGAATAGGGTACGTTAATCGTTTGCTTGGGACCAATAGGCTACTAAAGTGGTGAGCCAATTTAAAATCGTTAGTTTCGTATTGATTGTTGGTACTACCCACCACAGTGTACTTAACAGATGGCGCTAATGATTCAGCGACGATGTTTTACAGTGAGAAATATTAAATGTGTTATGTCTGTTTGTCTGTGATTAGACTGTCCCACTTTTTTTTCGCAATGTTCTCATATTTTGCTACCCATCAAAATTCACTTCATTTTTACCACAATAGCCTCTGATGATGATGATGATATGGAACCACCACTCACTGTCGGTAGACTGTGGACAATCGGGTCGACTTGATCAAGTCCCACTGACAAATCATTTTCAGCTTGGCGCTATATGAAGGGCCAAAACATAGGGGTGGACCCGTAGGCAGAAACGCCCACGCGAAACCCACATGAAACAGAAAAAGAATCTCCTTCCAGCAAACAAGATCATATAATTCGCCATGGAATAATCCCTCGTCCTGAAGGCTGCCCCAGGAGTGTGGAGAAGAGCCCGCCCTTTATCCACAAAATGTTGGCGACGAGAAGTTTACAATCCCACTCTCCCTATCCAAATCGCTTCAATTGGGAGCCCTGTTGAACCCTCCCTTCCCTTTTGTATATGCATTATTATTATTATTGTGCCACGGCAAGCTTATGGCGTAGTTGCTTTTGTGAACAAACACGTTAATCGTCGATTTCTCGCGAATTAAAGCTCAATTTATAAAAAAAAAACCATCAACACAAACAGTTAGAGGAATGATACTTCTATCATTTGATATTGTTTGTTGGCGAGATTGAACTTTTACTCGTGAGAAATCGACGATTAACGTGTTTGTTTACAAAAGCATTTACGCCCTAATCTCAAAGTTCCCCGGATTTAATATTCGGCTGATTTCAATCGACTCGCATAAGTCATTTTCTAAGAGCCACGTGTTTGTTTACAAAAGCAATTACGCCCTAATTTCGAAGTTCTCCGGAAATAAGGGTTATGTTGATCCGTTGATCCTTAACATAGAAGCGTAGATGCATAGGTGAAGGATAAGAGAAAGGAGAGACAAAGGTATTGAAAAACAGAATTGGTAAAGATTGAGTGCCCATGAATATTGATTTGTGTTGCATGTATAGATATTGGTATTACATACTCACTTCCCAGGTTCGAAAATATTCTTTTCAAACCTAGCGCGTAGGGTTACGGTATGTAATGTGGGTCTAGTCCTTTCATTCGGCCTATCACGCAAATAAATAATTAATTAAGGAATATTACACAAAAAATAAGGAAAATATTGATCACTGATGATTGATAAATGTGTACCACACACAAATCAATTTATATCACAACATTTCAATACATTTTCAGCTCTCGTAAGTAATAAAACTGGTTGAGAATATCACTCTGTTCGGAGTTTTTAGCCGCCATGACTTCTAAGGTTAAGATGGGAAGGTTGCACTGACGATCATCAAATGGCCTGATTATGGCATTTATTGAATGGAATTACCTGATAATACACACTAGACGTAAAACTCACAGTTACTGTTTGAATATTTTATGTTTATTTTAATTGTTTAACAACGTTTTCACAAGTAAATCATGGACCCAACTTTAGGGACACATTTCTTTTCTATGTTCCTAACTTTGGCCCATGAAATTCATTTGACAGCATATAGCAATAAGAGTAACGTCAACAATGTGGTTTGCATTTGGATGATAAGGAACGAACAGGAAGGGAGATTTTTTCTGCCAAATCTGTATAATGAACATCACAATGTTTTGATTTAGATATTCTGCGGTCGAAAGACGATAAGCGAAATTTTTAATTTTTAATTTTTAACTTGAGTGATTTAATGTAGTTTTCGTAAAATTTTCTCTAAGAAATGTTTTGAGGAATGAAGAGTATTAAGTTAACAGTGATAGTGATAAAAAAAAATACATAAGAAAACGTTACCAAGAGCGTTTTTTTTTGAGAATCAAACAGGATAGGACGAAGTTGCATCCATAAATAGACCCAATTTGGGGACAATAGACCGATATTACATACATTTCCCTGGTGAGTTTTTGTCTTAAAAAAAGTAAGTTTTTCAACTTTTTGCGGTTCCTGATAGCAAACGACATGATAAGCATATCTAAGCATACCATTTAGCAGTAGAATATCGTTTGCAGGTAAATTAATTGATGAGTTATGATTAAAAACGTAATCTATGGCTGCATATTAGACCGAGGTTAGGGACGTATACCCTATTTAGTTTAATTTTGATATATCATTTATAAAGAATAATTGAATAATTAATCCCTTGCACTTTTTCTCTAACGCTTCGTATTTCATTCCGTGCTTCATTGGTAATTTCCTTCCGTAGATCGTCCTTGGTCGGCTCTGACATGATTCCGCCTTTTCCGGGTTTTTTCTTGTTTTCTGAGGAAGATAAATCCCCACTAATTTCCGTTCCTGGTTCGATGTTGACTCCTTCCTCGCTAGTTGGTGTGGCCGGTTTTACGTCCACCATCTGTCACTGTATTGCCATGGTCACCTGGGACGAGGCTCACGTCTAAAGTCGCTGATCCACGAGTGCTCCGTACAGCATTGCGCGAAAAGAGAATGAAAGAAGTACGAAAGGGATCAGTTTCAAAAAGTGACAGTTTCATCAAATTCTCCAACTAATCATACTCAAGCAAAGTAAGAATATACAAGCTAAAGAGCCTGAATTTATAAAGAGACGAACTCTATCAGATGATGTATAAAAATCGGTATATTTTTCAGAGTTAAACAACCCAATTCAGCTGATTTATGAAGTTGATCGCCCCTCGGTAGATTCTTACGTTATTGTTTGTGGTAATTTTGATTGTCTTGCTGGTAGTAGCGATTCTGCTGCAACTGCTGGTTTTACAGATTTATACAGATTTTTATAAAATGCTTGAGAAAAAAAAATTCAAAATTTATAAAAACAAAGTAACTTGTAAAACACTTCTTTCACAACTTCTCTCCAAAATTAATTGTTGTGCCATAAACCATATTTTTTGCAGTGGGATCTGCTCGAGGCGTTGCTGTTTCTTTTATGCTTCTCTCACTCCCTCCAACGGAAAACGCAGTCACGCCCGATTCCACTGTGCGTTTATTGGAAGATTGCCGTAAACGCTCGACGTAGATGTCGCCACTGCATGATAATGATAATGTTGACAGACTGCATATAAAATTCGTGAAAATTAGCGTTGAATCATAATTTTCATCAAGCCTGTGTAAAATCCTTCCAATATAACATTCTAATTGAAGAAGAAAACGTTTTTACGATCAGACTGATGTGCATCTTTGACTTTTCCAGTTGAACTTTCATAAGATATATTCATTTCATTTCACGGCTCCATCAATGCTGCATCGTAAATATGATGGTAAACAGAAGTAAATTACTCAATTACTCAAAATAAAGATGATTTGTCAGCTTGTTATCACTTTGAAGACCATCTAGCACCATTTTATAGTATGGTGCGTGTTGAGTAAATCAAGTTCCGTTGCGTTTTCCGTCGAAAATTGTGAGTATCAATCTGTTTACCTAAAAAAGGCTAAAATGAACATTTATCGAATATTAGCGTCCTATACAACCATTT